GCGGCTGGGTCGTGTGGTGTCTGTGTCGAGGAGCAGCAGGTCGGCAGATCATGCCACATGTTCTCGCGTCCCCGAAGCCTCAAAACGACGATCGACGACCCTCGGCTTGTACGCTCCGCTAACACGGGCTGGCAATTTGGTGGTGGACGGTGTGATCGTCTCCTGTTACGCCTCCGTGGTCAGCGAATGGCTCGCCTGGCTGGCCATGCTGCCCATCTTCCTTTGGCACACGTTGTTGCAAATGACGCCGCAAAGGGAGGCGGATGTCGTGGAGACGCCCGACGGGCCGACGATGATGCAGGTCTACACTGCATTCCTGCAGTTTCTCGCCGACTGGCTGTTGCCAAATCAACTCTTCTATCAGGAGATGGATGTACATTTCATGAAGTCCCCATGCCCATTCGACAGACCGACATAGCGACCAACAAGTTGGCGGCGGAAAAGCAGAATTCACTCGACTCATGTGATGACGAGCTGAGATTGAATGCTGTAAGGAGATCTGTGTTCCTTTTCAACTTGCTCCAAACACCGTTAATACACATTCAACTGGTGCCAGTCTGGTATGATCGGTACATGACGGCCACGGGTACATTTACAGGGTTGTGCAGAACCGGCGAGGCCGAACAGAGTCCTTCCCTCCACCCTTAACTCTAAAACACAAAGACTAAAGAATACTTGCACTGAGGCGAGTTTCTGCGCCATGTCTCAACACACTTGGTTCGGCTGCTTATCTGCGAATCGTACCTCCGTTTCATAATGGCCGGAGTGTACATTCGAAGCAGCGCAAATGTGTGCGCAACTGGCATTTTTCAATTTGTACTCACTTAATCCTTCCAGTCTCAATAACAGTCTGAATAGAGAGTAGAAAAAACTGAAAATTCGCCTGGTCCCCATTAAACATGCTGCGGTCCCTCTAACTTTCTCCCTGTCCGAAATCTTGTGCCTAATGCACCCGATATGAGTGCTTCCCCAAAGTTGATCTCTTATGCTCTTTTCTGTATATATTTCCTCTTTGGCATCCTTTGAGTATTGCACAGCAATGCATCCTCATTTTGTGTCAGTATGTACATGCAACTTGACCCAGAGAATAAGCAAGTATATATCAGACATTTGACATACTTAATATATATATATATATATATATATATATATATATCGGGTGATCACAATTTAGCTATAAAAACAGAATTTTAGTATGCTTTCCATGCTACCTGAGTCCTCAGAGTTAATGCTCTTCGAGGTGTAAACTGTATATTTAATCTCATAACTCAGACGAACCATCCAGTTAATTAGACTTGGAGCATAAATTCATTTACTCTCACTTGGCCTCAATCACTCTAAATGTCCCCCAAAATTCTCACCACTTAAGCATCAATGTGTTGCTAGGCTGGATGACTCTACGACTATTATGGAAAGATAAATCTGTCGATTCTATATTTAACTTTCTTACCCATCTTCTTCCAAAGGTGTCGTTTTTATTTGCATCATTTCGTCATTATTTGATAACTTCACTTTTGTATATCATACCAATTCCTTTTGTGATTCCCATTTGGTTCTTGTATCTCATTAGATGGCTTTGTCTAAATTTAAAAAAAAGTGTATTCGGGGTCGAAGAATCCACCTTCCTTCTTTGACTTAAAGCCTTATCATTGACACTCTCGGCATACCAGATATTGTACTAGCTGTAACCACCATTGCTGATTGGTAATGTAAGCAAGTATATGATAGAAATTGTTTGCTCCATTTGAAATGTCATCTTGTGATGCGAACATTCACTTCATGAATTGATAGAATAAGTTCGAACTGACAGTGTAAAATGCTCTGAAACCAGACGGCACAGAAGCTCTTCTCAATCGTGATAGTCACTCTGCACAGAGACAATAGACTTTGGGGTTCGACAACCCGAAAAATCTTTAAGCATGAATTACGATGCAAAATTAAAGGTACACCAAAGCGTCTACGTTAAGGTATTGTGGGACATCTAACTGTGAATCCTCAAATAACACTAAGTAACATAAAGCGTTTAGTATTCTTTTGACTAGGGCAACATATAGTTTCAAGACTTACTCATTTTATATACTTAAAAAAATTCAATGGAAAAATCATGTAAAAAATTGCTACATGCAAGTCAGAAGTTACCGGGCTTACGTCGTTTAGGTCATTGAATTTCAAGCCAGTCTATGCTCGAACCTTTGCCCTAATTTGCATTCATTAACGATTTCGATTAATTCTCTTGCCAAGGGTGTTGCATGAAAGAAAAATCTGAAACTAAAAAAGGATCTGGAGGGTTTGGGATTTTAACTTAGAGACTATCAAAGTCTACCAAAAAAGATTATATCGAAGGCTGCTGAAGGAGGGGCGCTTATTTAATTAAACATTTTTTGCCCTGGTGGAGTCAAGACTCACGAGACAACCAGCAAAAATCGAACAAAGTTGTACCTAAAAATTAGGTAAACCAATGAATTAGTTTAATAAAATAGTAATTCCAGACACACAGGTCGAGAAAAGGATTTACTATCGTCATCGCAGTTGCCTTTGCCGGGCAACAAAATAGGGCCTTGAAAAAATTTCATATGGCAGTTATGAAAAGACTGATTATTTGACGGTTCTGTCCTGTACGGTTGGCCGTTACTCGTGCTTGGTGCTAACTCTTGACAGTTAAGGGAGACAATATAGGACTTTTTTGATGCAAGACGCATTAAAGCTTGATGCTAAGGGAGTAGTGGCTATGAGAGCAATGCCAAAAACTGTTGCAATTGGAGCAACTTTATACAAATCATGGTCCCGATTACTATGAATAAAAGACTATTACTAAATATATGAATTAGTTGTGTGTTGAGTTCAAACAAAAAACAAAAGGCAGCAGCTTATCGATGCAAAATTTCTCATTAAGCGTGTGAATAAAGAGGGGCCTGGTTTGCCTTGAAAGTCAGCATGTTCAGGGTCGTGCTTGCCTCCGGATTCAAAGGCCCGTGATTCGAATCCCGTTGGAGATGGTGGT